CCAAAGAACTCTTGAGAAACTTTGCAATGAAGATGGAACAAAATAACAGCAAGGTATCTATTGATGAGGGGGTGTGGTAAATGGAAATCTAAAGTAAAACCTTTATTCCTAGAAAGTTTTTAAGATCAGTGAACTATTGTAGAACCTTGCGAGACAGCCAGAGCTCTTATTACTGTTTCCCTTCCTTTTGCTCTCTTGCAACTCTGATGTAACACCAAGCTGTGCTCAGGGCTTATTCCTGGCTCCGTGCTCAGAGATCATTCCTGCTTGCGGGACCCTGTGGGTGTCAGGGATCGAGTCCAGGTCAAACATATACAAGACAAGCATTCTTGCCTATTGTACTATCTCCCCAACCTGAGAATGCTTCATATTTTAAATGTGAAATATAGAGAATGTGTTCTTCGTCCTGTCAAGAAAAAGTGTCTTGCTAATTGTGGTAAAATTGCCATAACATTAAAACAAGCACTTTCACCATCTAGGATTCCTAGCATTAAAAACATTCACATTGTTGTACAACTGTCATTATGCGCCATCCTCAGAATGGTCTCAGCTCTCACTTGTACTCTATACTCAATCAACACCTCTCCCTCCTCCAGCCTTTGGTAGCACCATTCTACTCTGACAAGGTGAGCATATTATAAACATAATCATGTGGGACTTGTCCTTTTGTGACAGGCTTATTTCACTTTTGCCTAATATCTTCAGGGTTCAGTTTTACTACAAGAAGTAAGAATTTTGCTCCTTTTTTATTTTGGAGGGGCCCATTGTCGCTTTAAAAAATTATTTTCTATTTTTTGGTTTCAAGGCCACACTCAGCTGTATTCAGGGTTTACTCCTGGCTCAGCACTCAGGGATCACCCTGTTGGTGCTGTAGGACCATATGGGGTGCTGGGGAACAATCTCTGGTCAGCAGTGTGTAAGGCAAGCGCCCTACTTGCTGTACTACTGCTATGGCTCTCCTTTTATTGCTTTTAAACACAGTACTATTCTATTGGGCTGTAGCAATAGCACAGCGGGAAGGGCGTTAGCCTTGCATGTGACTGACTCGGGTTCAATTCCTCCATCCCTTTCCAAGAGCCCAGCAAGCTACTGAGAGTATCCCACCCGCACAGCAGAGCCTGGCAAGCTCCCCATGTTGTATTTGATATGCCAAAAACAGTAGCAACAAGTCTCACAATGGAGATGTTACTGGTGCCCGCTCAAACAAATCGATGAACAATGGGAGGACAGTACTACTGTGCTACTATTCTATTATGCTTTCAATATACCTGGTTTTAAAAATCCATTTATTTGCTGATGAACATTTTGGTTGCAGAAAAATTCTCAAAGACAGTTATCTTTCTTTTCTTAATTACCTTGCCTTCCCTCTTTTCCTTCTGCCCCTCTCCCTCCCTCCATTCCCCCTTCTTCACTCCCTACCTCCTAATAGGGCAGAAGTTGACTAAAGGATTTCATCATTGAAACTCTCAAGGAGTAGTACAAATAGAATTTTTTCTTTTTTAAATGTAGGAGTATTGCCATTTATTCAGCCATTGAATAGGCTGATTGAATTGGGCATGAACTCTGCCTTACTTTTTTTTTCTTTTTTATAAATTTATTTATTGAATCACCATGAGAGCAGTTGCAAAGCTTTGGGGTTTAAGTCTCGGTCATACCATGATGAAACACCTGTCCCTTCACCAGTGCCCATTCTACTTGTACTATCTTTATACATAAAGAACCACTAGGAAAAGAAATAATTGTATTGCTGGGAAAAATATAATTAAAACAGGAGTCCAGGTTTGGTTACAATAGCTAAATCATGAGGTGACAGTTTGGATTAAGTTAGAATGCAGACAGGGAAATAGCTGTGTACATAGGGTATAACACAAGATGGTTGCAATTTCTTTTACTCACACAGAGATGTCCAGATTGGGCTATGGTACTATGAGAAGATTTTTATTTATTTGTCTTGGATTTAGCAGTGTTTAGGGGATAGTACAGCACAGTACCCAGTGAACCATGTAATTCTGGGGACTGAGTTTGGGTCTCTCTTAAGGAAAGCATGAGCACCAGTCCTTTGGGTTTTCTCCCTGGCTCAAGACAAGGTACTTACAATTGGTTCAGTCATTCAGTTATGATTTTGAAGGTCTCACCTTGGGTGTTCTGCAGAGAAAGGAGAGAAGAAAGCGTGTCTCCGAAGGATTAGGTAAAGGGTTGGGCATCAAGGATAAATACATTGGACAAGAGGCTGACTTCTTATCTAGGATCTCTGTTTTGTGGAACCATGATGAGATGTTTATAAAGAAAGATTGTTGTTAAGTGTTGGGAAGATGGCATAAAGAACTGGAGTATGGGCTTTGCATGTGGGAGTCCTTGGTTCAATCCCCAGTATAGCATGGTCTCTTGAGCACCATATGCAAAAAAAAAATGTGTGTTCTTGGACTTGCTAAGTCCAGGAATACTTACATGTGGTAAACACAAATTAATGAACTTAACTTGAAGAAAATGAAATTCTTAGTAGGACTTAGTCAAAAGACTAATTTAATGGTGACATATTGGGAAGATCACAACCCCCATTTAGATTTTACCATTATTATATATCACGATCACGATCATCCTGTTGTTCGTTGATTGCCTCGAACAGGTCCCAGTAACGTCTCCTTCATCCTAGCCCTGAGATTTTAAGAAGTGCCATACTCAAGGCTCTTTCAGGGTTAGGAGAATGAGACCCATCATTGTTACTGGTATTTGGCATATTGGTTATGCCACGGGGAGTTTGCCAGACTTTTATATATATTGCAAATATATAGCTTGGTTTGTCCTTGAATATAACAATGGTTAATGGCTGAGAAAGATCTTTTACTATCATCATCATCTGGGTTAGACGTCATGGGGTGAGCTGTAATTATCAATTGTCACTTCAACAGGGGGAGCAATCATAGCAATGGCACTTCAGAGCTATATTTCAATGTGACAGGCATGCCACATTATGGGGACTCAGTGCACAAAACATAAGATTTTAGAATAATTTCTCCACCCAAAATAGTGTTGATCTTTGTTAGAAAATGTAAATTTTAGTTAAGCATCATTACTTATCTGGAAAATCTGTGTGTGTGTGTGTGTGTGTGTGTGTGTGTGTAGAGAGAGAGAGAAAGTGATATATATATATAATCATAGAAGTCTAGTAAACACTTTGCCTTGGGTCAAATATTAAACAAAACCCAATTATGGTAAATAACTGATTCATTCTTTGTAAAGTCTAGGCAGGTTTATATAAATTTGTTCATAGAGAGGGCTAAAAAATTAAGCAATACAAATCATTTGCTGTTGACCTAGCTTTAGTTGAAAGCTTGTCAGATAAAGCTAGGTCAACAACAAATGATTTAATGATCACAAAATCACTGTGGTAGCAATAAATTAGAAATGCCCAGAAGAGCAAAAGGAAAATAGGAAAACATTTTTTTTCAGACCACATTTGGCAGTGGTCAGGGCTTACTCCTGGTTCTGTGCTCAGGGATCACATCTGTGGGTCTCTGGGAATCATACGTGGTGCATGTGGTGCTGAAGATTAAGCCCTGGTTGGCTGTATGCAAGGCAAGAGCTCTACCTGCTGTACTATCTCTGCAGTCCTAGGAAAAATCATTTTTAATGTTCCCAAGGATAAATAGTCATCATATTAAATTTCTCCATGGCTTTTTGTTTTCGTAGTTGTTTTTTGGTTTAGGGGCCACACCTGATGGTGCTCAGGACTTAGTCAGGTTCTATGCTCAGGGACCATAAGTGGAGTAGAGTTGACGGAATGCAAGGCAAATGCCTTTCTCTGGTCTATTCCTGGGGTACCTTAAAGGCATTCCACCATTTTTTATATCACTTTATCTAGAAAAGAATAAAGATTTTAGCAGTGGTATGTAAGATAGATTGAAGAAAGCAAATACAATTTTGTATGCAAGGGCTTTGAAGAAAGATGAAGAGAGCATTAACATATCAGGACTGGTTCTGCTATGTTCTCTGAAATTTGAAATGGAAATGAACATCTTGGAGCATATGGATCTTCAGGAAGATGGTTACGGTGTTTACTTGACAAGTAGATTCTATTAAATGAGGAATCTGTAAGTCATCCATGTACACACACATTATATAAAGTTAGATGGTGCTTGATAAATGTAGGGGCTGGAGCGATTGCACAGCAGTAGGGCATTTGCCTTGCATGCGGCTGCCCGACCGACCAGAGTTCGATTCCTGCATTCCTGCGCCCCTCTCAGAGAGCTGACAAGCTTACAGAGAGTTTCTGGCCCCCGCAGGGCAAAGCCTGGCAAGCTACGCATGACACACTGGATATGCCAAACGCAGTACCAACAAAGTCTCACAATGGAGACGTTACTGGGCCGCTCGAGCAATCAATGCAATGACAGGAGGACAGTGCTACAGTGCTAATGTAATGGCCTTCTACTCTAAGCCTTTTATTAGCCACTTAAAGAGAGCTTCGAAGTGCGCATATTGCTAGCACAGGGACCAGAAAGTAAACTGCAACAAACGTTTGCGGTTTGGCAACGGCCAGTAGGAGTGGAAAAGGCTGGCTTTTGGCGTGAACAAGGAAACTTTTCGAGTGTTTTCTCCACGTCCTTATCTACACGTCTACATCTTTAATCTGACAGTTCTTTGGAAAAATCAAAATACGTGCAGATCAAAATCAAGAGATGAGACCCAAGCAAGCCCGGAGAGGGTAAAGCCCGGCGTCGCCGGGCCGGACCCCAGAGCCGGCGCACGCCTCCGACCCGCGCCAAGCTCCGCCCGGGGGCGCACGTTCAGGGCCACGGACGACTCGTCCGCTCGCGAGATTTCTCCTCACGAGACGGCTCGCCGTTGCCTCGAGACTGGGGAAGCATCGCGAGACTGGCTCCAGCCGCGCTCCGGGCCCCCCGCCGGGCCTTCGCTCCTCCTACTGAGCCCCCGGCAGCCCCGCCCGCTCCGTCGCACGTGGAGTTGGTGTGGGTCGGAGGTCCCGTGACGCGGAAGTGGCCCTGCAGGCTCCGCCCCAAGATGGCGGCGCCCTGTGCTCGGTGCCGCGACCCGCTCGTGCTCGCCCTGCAGCCGTAGGCCGGACGGCGCCCGCGGGCTATGGACCGGCCTGGCCTGACCGCCTCGCTGCTGGTGAGTGCGGGGCGGTGGGCCTCTGTGCCCGATGCCGCCGGAGCTCTTCCTCCCGGTTTTGCGCGCTGGGCTGTCCTGGGGTCACCGGGGGCGGCTGTGGGAGGCAGCCGCTGGGTCTCTCCCGGGACCGCTGGACCTCGGCTCCGTCTCGCAGTTTCTACCCCGAGGAGGTTGCGAGCAGTCTGGGTGCTCCAGGACCTGGTTTTTCGTTTGGTGATGCCCGGAAGGAAAAACAGACCTTTAATCACGTGACCGCCCCCACCCCGCCCCCGAGATTTGGCGTTAGGGAATCATGCGATCCAACAAAAAGTGCTTGCGCAAAGTCGCTCACACCCCCTCTCGTCCAAGACTGAAGTTGTGGTTTTGCTGTATGTACGTGTTTTTTTTTCCTGCCCGGACTGTGACATTCATTCATTGGTTCAGTTTGTATGTGACTGCTTCCGAGTAGTCCAGCCTTCCTGCATAGATGTGCTATGAGGCGATTTGACTGTGATTCCTTCGAGAGCAACAAGAATCAACTCTTGTTAACACCAAAGCCAAAAGAAGCCCCCAGTACAAAAGAAATCATTTAATAAACAGTTCGAAGCCTTTGTTATAACCTAGTTATAACCTACTAGGGCTTACCACATGCAGTAGTGAACAGGTCAGGATCGACAGCCACTATTTCAGTGCATCTGGAATCCAGTGGTGCTGTTCTGGGGGGTAGCTCCAGGGTGGGGTGCAAAGCCCTTGAGTCATCTCGGGAGCTCTCCCCCCCAAACCTCCAGAGGAATGTAATTAAGTTATCAAATGTTGGTTGTTGCAGGTATTTGATATAATTTAATGAATAGGAGATAGACTTGCTTCTTTAGCTCAGTCTGTTGAGAGACAATAGTGAAATATTTTATCCTAACATAGAAGTATGTTAGGGTAAACATTACGGGGCGACTAGTTCAGAGTATTAGTAGAGAAAAGTGGAACCTTAACCAGAAATATGGACTAATGGTTTTAAATCTAGAATTGTTGAAACTTCACTGAGCTAGATTTTAGAGGTACAAATGTTACCATGCTCACTTTTTTTTTTTCTTTTTGGGTCACACCCAGTGATGCACAGGGTTTACTCCTGGTTCACACACTCAGGAATTACTCTTGGCCATGCTTGAAGCACCATATGGGATGCTGGGAATCGAACCCTGGTCAGCCGCATGCAAGGCAAACGCCCCACCCACTGTGCTATCACTCCAGCAGCCCCTCCCTTTTTTTTTTTTTTTTGGTCTAACAGCATTCCTGTCCCAGAAGAAAGGATGTTTCTCTCTCTCTCTCTCTCTCTCTCTCTCCTCTCTTTCTCCCCCTTATATAGCACCCTCTGTAGCACTGTCCTCCCGTTGTTCATTGATTTGCTCGAGTGGGCCCCCGTAACGTCTCCATTGGAGACTTTTGTTGTTACTGTGTTTGGCATATCGAATACATCACAGGTAGCTTGCCAGGCTTTGCCGTGCTGGGGAGATACTCTCAGTAGCTTGCCGGGCTCTCCGAGAGGGGCACAAGAATCGAACTCTGGCCGGCCAAGTCGGCCGTGTGCAAGGCAAACACTCTACCCGCTGTGCTATTGCTCCAGCCCCCCTTATATAGATTTCTCATTTAATCATTTAATTCTGACAAAGTTAAAATCTTATCTTGGTTATCCAATTGAGGGAATTGAGCTACAAAGGGGTTAGGTAAATTAATCAGAACCACACAGGGACATCTATTAAATATTTCTAAGGGTTGTAGAGTAGTGTTACGATCCAGTCAGTGTTACATGGAATTCTGTCCACTTATTAGCTCCTTGCCAATCTCTGAAATAACAGAAGCAGTTGCTAAGAACAGGTGAGTGTAAGAGTTAATAAAAGAATAGTAGGATGTGTGTATGTGTGCACACACACGAGTTAATAAAACAATGGTAGGATGTGTGTGTGTGTGTGTGTGTGTTTACCCAGAGCTCATACGTGCAGAAAGAATAATAATTTAAATTCTTTTTTCCCTGTGTTTGTTTTTGGGCTACATCGAGTTGTACTTAGAGCTTAATCCTGTTTTGTACTCCTGGCGGGGATTGGGGAACCATATTGGGGTGCTGGGGGATGGAACTTGGGTCAGCCATGTGCAAGTTAAGCAGCTTACCTGTTGTACTATCTCTCTGACCCAAGAGTTTAAAAAAAATTTTTTGGGGGGTCACACCTGGCGATGCACAGGGGTTACTACTGTGTGTAAACTCACACAACTTGGGGGCTCGGCACCCACACGGCGGCGGCTCTATCTCTCCCGCCACCCGCGTTCGGTAGTCTCACCCTCCTACCACCCTGGAGAGGTCGATGGCGATGGTCAGGCGGGGGAAGGAACGAAGGCCAGGCTGGTTGGTATTAGTCGTAGTTTATTCTGATTCTTTCTTCTTCTCCCCTTCTCTCTCTCTCTCCCCCCTTTGCCCAATCTACTGTCCCTATATCCCCCTCCAAGAGCAATTCGGGAAGACAATGACATAGGTGTGGTCACAATCAATAGGGGTGGAGATCAACAGGGGTAGAAATCTTAGCCTCAGGGAAGACCGTTCCTAGGACAGATCCTTCCTTAGCAGGAGGACCCACCCTAGAGCAGAATTCCATGGGCGTGCCTCTCCTCTCTTTGACCGACAAGCGTACAAGAATATAATATAAATCATTTTGTATGGATACAGTAAGAAATATCTTAAACTTATAGAATTGCTCTCCTAGGGCCATCTCGATCTCAGACTACGGTGCTCAGGCCAGATAGTCTTTCCCACCCCTAGCAGGATCCTAGTCTTGTCGTTACCTTGGATCATGACAGCATTTGTCCATGATCAAACTCTTAACTTATAGTTAAGAATCGTGGCACTTTGGCCTGGCCCATTTCGCTGCCAGGGTAGCTCACCGCTTGCCCTGGGCCCATTCAGTCCCTCGTCGGGACCCTGCTTTTGGGGTGTTAGGAACTATGGGCAACTGAGGCTTAAGTCGAGAAAGATGCCCAGGAGTGAATAATATTCAAGGCCAATCAAATCCTAAATTACAAAGCATAATGTTAACGGTCTTCCTGTATCTATACAAAAAGGATATTACTTTAAAGTAAACTGTTCATAAGGCATAAGGAGAGGAGAAAGGCAATATTTCACTCATACATATAAAATCATAGATTTCTGGGAAACTGATCTTACAAACTAACAAAGTCTGATTAAGGGGAAAGCTGATTAACTGGGTGGGAGAGCATAGGGAAGACTGTTTACCGATAAACACAATGGAAGTGGAAGTGCTTCAGGAGCACCGTGATGGGTGTAACCAGATTAAACCTAAACTTCTTGAAGGACAAAGCAATGTTACCCAACACTACTGGCTCTTCACTCAGGAGTTACTCCTGGCGGTGCTCAGGGGACCGTGTGAGATGCTGGGAATCGAACCCAGGTCGGCCGCGTGCAAGGCAAACGCCCTACCCGCTGTGCTATCGCACCAGTCCCAAGAGTTTTAAATTTTTATTAAAAAAATAAATTTTTATTAAAGCTTGGATGTGCAAGAAAATGTGATTTTTTTCAATGTATTTCAGAGGGGAAAAAAAAATCAAGATCAATGAGTAGAGTTTCAAGGAAGTTTTATTTTTCTTAACCATTCCTGGCAGTGCCCAGGCAGGATTTGAGGAGATCTTATGGGGTGCTGGGAATTAAATTCAGGTTAGCTGTGTCAAGGCAAGCGCCCTGTGCACTGTACTGTCTCTCTGACCTGGGAAGTTGTATTTCATTGTATGCAAAGGCAAATCATTTTATTCATTTAGCACATGGTTTATCTCCACGTACTTTGCTCTTTGAAAACCTTGATAAAGCCTTATAAACCAAACCCATTATGATGAGTACTATCAAAGAAATGAGTTAAAGAGAATAGAATACTACTACTACTAGATACCTACTTATGAGGGGTGGGGAGGATTTGGACCCAGTGTTGCTCAGGTCTTGTTTACTGCCGACTCTTTGTTCGGTGATCTTCTGGCATGCCAGTACAGTCTCGACATTCCCTTCGTACAGCTTCACAGGGAGTGGAAGGCAGGAGAGTTGATCAAGGGAAGAGACTCCCGGGATGTTTTTATTTTTTGGGTTTTGGGCCACGCCCGGTGGTGCTGATCAGGCCTTAGTCCTGGCCCTTACTCCTGGTCCTGGGGATTCAACAGGGTTCAGTTGCTTGCAAGCAAATACCTTAACCCTCTACACTCTCCAGCCCTTACAACCTACTTTGATTGATTGATCAACCCAGGTTTGATCCCAGCAGTGCTCTGAGAAAGTGTCATTTAAACTGAGACCTAAAAAGATTGGAGGGAACAAGGCATTTCGCTGAACTCCAGGGAAGGTTCAGAGGAATTAGCAAGTGCGAAAACCCTCGGGTGGAAAAAGCTTCAGATATAAGGGGGGTCTGAGGCCTAGTGTGTAGGTGAGTTCAGAGTGAGCGCCGACTGAGGTGTTTTTGTGGGCCAGGGCCAGAAAGATGTCCCTGTGGGTAGGGCTCTTGCCTTGCCTGTGACTGCCCCAGGTTTGATCCCCAACACCTCAGATGGTCCCTGAGTGCAGAGCCAGGAGGCAGCCCTGAGCACAGCTGAGTGTGGCCTCAAGACAAAAACTAGAAAATGAATTTGGATTTTGTTTGAAGCATAATGGAAGCCGTTAAAAGGGTTTATAGAAGTGGTCCAGACATGGAGTGGCCATATGCCAAGGTAAGGGGAGTCTGGGGGAAGTGTGATGCCCCCGAGGAAGTTCTAGCAATGCCTAACCCGTCGTAGGCTAGCAGCACTGCTGGAGTGCTGAGTGCATGCAGGAGAGAGAGAGAGAGAGAGAGAGAGAGAGAGAGAGAGAGAGAGAGAGAGAGAGAGACCGGATTGCTGAGACATGGAGGATTGAGTAAGGTGTTGGCTATGAAGTGCAGTGCCTGGCATGCAGTATACATGTCAGTGTTTCCTTCCAACAGTCGCATGAGGAGTGGAGGCCTGTCGGGTTGATCAAGGGGAGAGTCCCCAGGATGTTTTTGCTTTTGGGTCACACCTAGCGGTCCCCAGGGCTTAAACTCCTGGCTCTGTGCACAGGGGTCACTCCTGGCCGTGTGTCGGGCACCCGATGTTGTGTCCGGGATTGAGCTCTGGTCAGCTGCATGCAAGACAAGGGCCTTATGTGCTGTGCTGTTGCTCCAGCCCCTCTCTTGATGTTGCAGCTGCTACTGTTGTTGTTTTGCCATACCTTGCGGTGCTCAGGAATTACTCCTGGCTCTGCACTCGGGAAATGCTCCTGGCGAGCTCCGGGGACCATATGGGTTGCGGGGATTGAAGGCAGATCAGCCATGTGCAAGGCAAGTGCCCTACCCACTGTACTATCACTATGGCCCCCTCTCTTTAAGCTTTTGAACTTGATGCTGAATTGTTCTTGCCAAGTATTACTGTGTGATAAGTCCCCAAACCAGAAATTTTTGAAACCTCTAAGTTGTGATTACCAGTGAGGGACTTTACAGATTTCATGTATGAACTGATTGTTAGGTTTTATTTTACTTATTTTTTGTTTTTTGGGCCACACCTGGCCGTGCTCAGGACTCCAGACTCTGTATTCAGGGATCACTCTTGGTGGTGTTTGAGGGACCGACCATATACGGTGCTGGGGATCAAATTGAGGTCAGCCTTGTGCAGGGCAAGCACTTTGCCTATTTTACTATCTCTCTGGACGCTACTTACTAGGTTTTCTATGAATTTAGTAGGTGTATGTACTCTTCAATCTTTTGGAAGGTCTTAAAAATATTGGTGTGTCAGACTATAATATAGCAGAATTGGAATAATATATGCAGTAATCATAGCAAAAGTAATAGAGCTTTGGGATAGCTCCTAATGGGGATCGACCATATGGGATGTGAGGTTGGCTGCATGCAAGGGAAGCTCCCTACCCTCTTGACTCTTGTGGGCCCCTAATTCAAGCATTTTTAAGATCAGTGAATCCCTGCCCGATTAAGTGCCTGCTGTGTGCTGGTGCAGGAAACATATAGGAGAACAGACACACAGATGTTAAACAAATAGCCATGTACTCAGTTACAGAGTTAAAATTAAGATTGGTGTATAAGTAACAGAAAAATCTAAATCTAGGCTCCTCCATAAGGAGCCTGTGTATGAAGTCCTAGACATGAGGAACATTAGGTGAGTTGGAGAAAAGGAGAGATGCTAAGAAGGAAGGTGCAATTGCTGGGGGTGGCGGGTGGAGGGATCGGTGGATCTAGAAGTTCCACTTTTTCCCCCATTATCTTTTGAGCTGTGGACATATTTGAAAGGGCTATGGGCTGAGAAATGGCAAGATAAAAATTCTGTTTGAGGAATGTTTATGATTAGATCATAATCGTAAAAAGATCACTACAGGGGGGATGAATAAGCAGGGAAGAAGACACACTGCAGAGAGCAGATGATGCGGTGATCACTCACTGGGCTCCTTTTTTAGAGAACCTGAGAATGTCACGGAGGAATGTTCCCCAGAGAAGCCATGTTAATGTTTTGGGTGGTTGTTAGCTGCTATTTAATTGATTTTCTTCAGGTAAATCAGACAAGGGCTGGAGCGATAGCACAGTGGTAGGGCATTTGCCTTGCGCGCACCCGGCCCGGTTGAGCTGGGTTCGATTCCTCCGCCCCTCTCGGCAAGCTACCGAGAGTATCTCACCCGCATATATTCAATATGCCAAACACAGTAACAACAAGTCTCAAAATGGAGACGTTACTGGGCCCGCTTGAGCAAGTTCATGGACAATGGGAGGACGGTGTTTTGTTTGGAAATTAGACAAATGGTTTGGTTTTATTCTCTAGTCGAGCATCAGTAATTTTTTCTCCCTATTGTTGAGTCAGCCACCTTTTAAAAAACTATTGCATGTAATCTTGCCTCTTTTTTGTTTGCTTGTTTTGGGCCACACCCCACAGTGCTCAGGGGTTACTTCTGGCTCTTCGCTGAGGAATTGCTTCTGCCAGTACATGAGGGAAGATTTGGAATGCCAGGAATTAAACCCGGGTTGTCTGTATGCAAGGCAAGCACCCTACCCACTCTACTATTGCTCTGGCCCTGCATTCTTGCTTTTTAAAATTTACATAGTAATTTCAAAGCACTGGTGAGATTCATCCTCATACCGGCTACTAGCATTTTTAACACTGGTTAAATTATAATAGAGAGGTGTATTTCATTCATATAATATCAAAGTATTACAAGGTATTACATCCTTGTTACACTATAGTAAGGCTTACTGTTTCATCTGGGTTAAGTTCTGTTCATCTGGGTTTTACATAGTTTTTACAGTTTTCTTTCTTTTTTTGTGGGGGAAAGGGGGAGAGGTACACCTGGTGGGACTCAAGGCTTACTCCTGGCTTTGTACTCAGTAATCACTACAGGAAGGCTTGGGGGTGCTGGAGATCAAACCTGGGTCAGCCACGTGAAAGGCAAGTGCCCTACCCGCTGTCGTATACTCTGGCCCCATGTTCTTGCAGTTTTCAGTGCAAGCTACCATCATCTAGTCATTTGCTTGATGAACTTTTTGATAAATGACTATATGTAAAACATATTTCTCAGACCAAATGAAAAAAACTTGGTTGGATCTATAAGGATATAACTGATTTAGTTCATTTGAATATTACAGTTATGTTTGAGTAATGCTGTCAATCTTTTTCTATGTAATACTGTCAGTCTTTTTTCTGATGCAGAAATTCTATATCTGCTTAAAATTCTTATTTAACTCTTAAACGTCTTACTGCCATGTAACTGTTCTTCCCCTTTTTTGGGTGATTTTTATACATTTCGTTTCCATAAATAGTTCACAATAGTTTACTGCAGATGATATTCAAACACCCACCCACAAGCGAGCATCTTACCACCACAATAAGAGGAAAGTGTGAGAAGGCTGTTGTGTTTCATCCATGGGCCATTTCAGCCCACATATAAGAGAATACAAGCAAGTGCGCTGAAACCAAGAAACGTGCGCTACTTTACTGTAGGCACATCAGGGGGCTGGAGTACAAGAGGTCTCTCAGCTACAGGGAATACTCTGTCGCTGTCTTTGGGAAGCCTTGTTTCATAGTTTCTGGATCTTAGCCGTTGACGAGATTACATGGCGCTGGGCAAGTTTGTGGGAGTGGCTGCCAAGCGACAGGGGATCTGGGTGGAGGAGACCCAGCCCCGATCCGAGCAGGCTTGTAGATCTCAGCCCTGGGTCCCGAACACCTGGGTTCCTCTACCGGTTCCTTCATGCGGGAGGCTCGTCCGAGTGTGTGGAGAGTAGTCTTGAGCATGACTGTGGCTGGGTTCTGGAGGTTTTCGGCTGCCGGGGTTCTGCTTGGGGCAGGGAGGGAGACTGAACCCACCCACCTCTGAGGGCTCCCAGTGAAGACAACCTGGCATGGGGGCAGGAAATCCTGCCCTTCCACTTATTTTTCAGTTTTCCAAAAGCCTCATGAATTTTAGTGACACTTGAGTTAGAGAAGTTTGAGCTCCGCAGAAGCAATTAGTAACTTTTGATTCATGTTTACTGTGTAAGTAGATTGATTTGGTCATTTCACTCTCACAAGGTAAGAATCCTGATGAAAGAATGGTTAAAAAATCAATGCATGCAAAGTAGCCACATAGATTAAAAGAGTAATTACCTTATTGATTAAAATTTAACAGCCCTGGCAAGCATTTCTCTGAACGCTCTCCTAAGATTAAAGAGAAAATGAGAGTGCAGTGCTGCACATTTCATAAGAATCCAGGCATAACAAGACATTCTTACAATGAATTTACTTCTCTTTGTGCTTTGAGAAATGAAAACAGGCAAAATATTTTATTTTCATGCTAGAGTTTTTATAAAATCTTTTCACAGAAGTGAGAAAAGTGTTGAAGATGGTTGACTTTAAAGAAAAAAAAAAGGTCTGCATTACTTCTGAATCTTTCCTGTGACTTGGGAAAGGCCACTAAACTCTCCAGAAGGAAATCTTGGGTGGCCGTTCTTTCCCAAGCGCGTGGGGTTCTTGCTGGCTTAGCTTGGTGCTCTGGTCGTGATACACCATCACAAAGGTGGGGCTGGGGATGGCTGTGAAGCAGAGCACTTGCTTGGCAGCGTGGGAGGCCCTGGGTGTGATCCCAAGCACACACATCAATAAATGCATTCAAAATAAAATCATTAAGAGCTACAACTGAAAATATAATGCAATAATGATATTTTCCCAAAATATCTCGACGAAAGGTCCTTTGATTCTGCCAGTGTGACTATTTTGTGGAATTTCCGGAATTTAGTGCTACTCATCTGTATATGTGTAGGTGTCACCGCCTCCACAATAGGAAAAAAAATCCCATATGTGGGATATAAAGAGACTCAGTGAGGAAACAACAAATGGCCAAAGGCGTTGGAGCTAGAGATTTTCTCTACAGAACTGAGCTTACTTAGGGGAGGGGTCTTGGGGGGGACACTGGGGGATCCTGGGGGACGGCAGGAGGCTCTCTGGGGGTGAGCATGCTGGTACAATGATGTATGCATGGAAAGTGTGAGTAACAATGTTGTAAACCATGGTCCTGCAACCAAAATGAGAATGGGGGAAACACATCTTTAAAAAGGTTTTTAAAAATCTTTACTTTTTAAATCTCTACTTTAAAAACATCTTTACCCCCAATGACAGAAGGCTTATTTTATTGATTTTTTTTTTTTCTGTGTCAGGGATTAGCAGTTTCTTGTAACCTTTTGCTCCTTTTCTCTCTCCCACCTTTTCCCTTTCTTGAAGGCTGGTGGTGTAGCAGGTGTTTTTGTGGACTTGATATTATTTCCACTGGATACCATTAAAACCAGACTGCAGAGTCCCCAGGGATTTAAGAAGGCTGGTGGCTTTCGTGGAATATATGCTGGCGTTCCTTCTGCTGCTATTGGATCCTTCCCTAATGGTAAAAGTTCTATTGATTTTTTTTCTCACTGTTATGAAGCCAAGATAATGGCTTATGGGTTGCAACTTATTTTCTGAACATGTTAAACTTTTGAATCAGCTAGTGCTATAGATTTCCAGCTGATTGCAATAGAAAAAATACGATCCCTCTTCTAAAACTGGATTTTGGTGTTAAAATTCCACTTAGATTCCTTAATGTGTTGTTCCAGTTTTATGGTGCCTTAGAGCAGTGGTTCTCAGCCTTGCCCCTCACATTGCCATCTTTACAAAGTGCTGATGCTGGGGCTAGAGAAACTGTACAGTGGGTAGGGCACTTAACTGGTTGACCTGGGTTGGATCCCAGCACAGCATATGGTCCCCTGAAGCAATGGCAGCAGTGATCTTTGGGTGCTCGGCCAGGAGGAAGTCCAGAGCACTGTGGGTGTGGCCCAGCCGTGCCTTCACCCCACAACCCCCCAAAGAAGTCCTGATGCTGGGGCTGAGAAATAGTACAGGCTGGAATTCATGTGCTTTGCATGTGGCAGTGACCGAATCCTGATTTGGATCCCCAGCTCCATGTGTGGCCCCCTGAGCATTGCTAGATGTGGCGCAGCCCTCCGTCCCCACAAATACATTAAAAACAACTACAGCAAATTTAAAACACAGATGCTGTTGTTACCTCCAGAGGTTTGACTGGTATATAGATTGCTTGGATACCAGGAGTTTGGGTAGTTTCCCAGGTAACCTGTGTGGAAATTACTGCTGCCTTTAAAATTCTGTGGAGCAGATGGATTTAAGGCATTAAACTTACCTGACTAACTTGCTCTTGGATGATGCAGTTGATTACCACCGACTTTCTCTTGAATAATCTCCTTTCAGTGACTTACTTTTGCTTTGTTTTTTAAGTCATATTATGTATGGCCCTCTTATTCTTTAATTGATATTATTATTATTTTTAGGGGCCGCACCCAGCTGTATTCAGGGCTTTCTCCTGGCTCTGAGCTCAGGGATCACTCCTGTTGGGGCTCCAGGAAACATTCAGGGTGCTGGTGATGAAATCAGGGTTGACTATATGCAAGTCAAGTGCCTTACCTACTGGACTACCTTTCGAGCCCCTGTACTATTTGTTTTAATTAATATACTTACTACATTTTTTTCGGATGCTTAGTTTTGTGTGTGTATGTTTGGGGGGAAGGTGGATCCCAAGAAGTATTCATGATGACTGGTGGCCAGTGCTGGCCAGATCCAACCATCTGGGTCAGATATTTGTGAGCTGGAGCCCAAGAATGCTGTGCTATTTGGATCTTGTGCTGCTGGGGACCTCCTGAGCTCTACCTGGTAGTGTTGGGGACCAGGGGGTATTGGTGACTAAACTGGGGTCCCTAGGATGCAAAGAATGCATCTGCTTGGCCCAGATACTTCCATTGTTTACTAATACTTTGAGTAACACTCAAAAGCAAATAAGAAAAACCAAAATACCATTCAAGCATTGATCTCTCTCTCTCTCTCTCTCTCTCTCTCTCTCTCTCTCTCTCTCTCTCTCTCTCACACACACACACACACACACACACACACACACTCACTTACATACTTAATATTCTTACTCAGAAAACCACTGCTCCAGATTTCTTAAATTCTGGGACTGTTTCCATTGTCCTTGACTACAATGTGACTATGTTCAAACACCTTTTGAGTGTTTGAGCCATTCACTTACCGTTAATGAAAGTTGCATATAGTACAAGGAAGATCTTTAGACTTGTTGTGTAGTTGAGAATGCAGCTGAATACACTTCAGTTTTAGCCCTCCCTCCCCCACCCATATGGTCCCCTGAGCACTGCCAGGTCAGTTCTTTGCGGTCCCTCCCAGAACTGTTGAGTGTCACTGTGGAGGCCTTGAGCATCCCTAGGGTGATCATCACTGGATGGTTCTCGCTACCTCTAGCCCCAATGTGCTGCTCAGAATCTGTAGGCTGGTTGGCCAAGAATTACCCTGAGTGGCCCCTAAGTTCCCCGAGCACTTCTGAGCAGACTCCTCCTCACCCCCTCCTCCCTCCTCAAAGAGTTGACTCTTGCCTTGAGGAGCTGATGTAGCAAAAATTAGCCATGGTGATTGGGGTAGCCTGGGTTTATTGGGTTAAAGTACATGTTTTCAGTTTCATCTTGCTTATAAGTCTGTGTAGCTAATTTTTCTCGACCATTTATTTTCTTGGCCAAAGATATTTTGGATCATAAAAACTTACATCCTTTTCCTTATTTGGGAGCATGTGTGTAAGAGGTTAGGACCACAACTGACAGTGCTCAGGGGCTAGTCCTGATTTTGTACTTAGTAGTGACCCCTGCATGATGCTCTGGAACCATATATATTGCTAGGGATTCAGATTAGCTCAACATCGCGAAAAAGGCCTTAACACCTGACCTGTCTCTTCAGCCCCCTTGACTTTATACCCCATATGAAAAGCTCACTAAACATGTTGTGATTTTAGGGGTCGGAGCAACAGTATAGTTGGTAGGGTGCTTACCTTGCACGCTGCGGACCCTATTCAATCCCTGGTGCCCAGAGAGTCTCCTGAATCCGCCAGGAGTGACCCCTGAGTGCAGAGCCAGGAGCAAGCCCTGAACATAGCTGGGTGTGGCCCAAGAACAAAAAACAAAAAATTCCAAAAATGTCCTGGACGAGCTGTACTTAAAGACTTTAATTTTAATTTTGTACTTAAGGCTTTAGTACTTAAAGTGGTTAATGCCAGGTTAGCCCTTAGGCTTCTTCAGGGCATAAATTTTGTCTTTTATAAATTTGGGGCATATAATGGTGAGTTTTGTTAAGTGGGTGGGGAAAATATATGTTAACTGTAACCTTTATTATCATTAGAGTTTAGATTTTTAAAATATTAAGTTTGAATATGTGTTTAGCTTTTGAAAGACTGGCTTATTTTAAATTTCAGCTTCTGCTTTTTTTATCACCTATGAATATGTGAAAAGTTCTTTGCACACTGATTCATCTTCATATTTGGTGCCTGTGAAGCACATGTTGGCTGCCTCGGCTGGAGAAGTGGTAAGTAAACAGTTGTGCACGTGAAAATCAGAAATGCGGATCAGCCATGCATATATCTGTAGCACAGTCACTACTTGCATTTTAGAAGACAAGTCTTTTTGATTTTTTAACATTTTTTAGACAAGTGTCTGTAAGTCATAAATCCCAGTACATGTAAATGAATCAACAATGATAGTTAAGAGAGTCTAGGTAGGAGGAAAGAAAAAATTCAGCCATTTACCAGAGATAAGTCTAAAACAATTATATAGAAAGAAATTACCTATGCAGGTGCCATGTCTTAGTATAAAGTTAACATTACTGAGCTGGAACTTTGTTTTCTAGACTTCTCATTTGACGGTGGTTGTAGGTCAATCACACACACACACACACACACACACACACACACACACACAAATTTGTGTAAGATGGAATTTGTGTTTTTGTTTAGAAGTTTCATGTAGGTTGAACTCTGTTGCAGTTGATACCCTTACCCGTGGGCCTTGGGCAGTAGCCGGGCCTCACTTCTCTAGCTCCTCAGGAATCCTCTGCAGCTTCTTTAAGGGGCTAGTCCTGAGTCAGAAGTGAAGGTGCCCGCTTACACATCAGCCCCCCACAGCATCAAGGTTGGTCATAGATGAGTTCCAGTTTGTCCTGACTCTTCTGCATTTTGGTTTCTTCTTCCCTTCTTGATCACCTGCTCTGAGGCTCAGAGGCTTCTGTCCAGCAGAAGTAACAGTTCTGTACACTTGCTTAGCCAGATCCTACAATTTAAAGTGGTTCAGTTCCATAAAATAACCCCCTTTTTTTTTTAAATCATTTATAGTGGTTCTTCTTGTCTCAACCCTATGTTACTCAGTTACTGACAGACAACCAGTCAGTAATGTTAATAATAGGTGAGAAGACAACTTGGTCAAGGAGACCATCATATTATTCTAGGAATAGTTCTGAGTGATGCGGCAGACCTGACCTGAACTAAGTCTCGAAATCACTTAATCACTTAATCCCCGTTATTCATCGATTTATTCGAGCGGGTGCCAGTAACATCTCCATTCATCCCGGTTGCGTGCTAGCGTAGCCCAATGGTATCTGTTCGTTTTAGGAACATGTAGAGCCTCAAACCGATCATTTAGGGTCTTGACGAAGAAGTCTGACCATCTTATAGGTGGGCGTCCACGTGATCTTTTGATGTCTCGTGGAATCCAATCAGTAATGGCTCTAGTCCAGCGGTTGTCTGTAAACCTCATTACGTGTCCAGCCCATCTTATTTTTGATGTCTTGGCAAATGAGACAGCGTCCCTGATTCTTGAGCGTTGACGAAGATCAGAACTCCGGATTCTATCTCTCATTTGAGTGAATCGTGATATTCCAAGCATAGTTCTTTCGATTCCTCTTTGAGAGACCCGAATAGTGTTCTCATCCTGTTTTTGTAGGGTCCAGGTCTCTGAGGCATATGTTAATGCAGGAAGAATAGTGGAATCAAAGAGATGTGCTCGTAGCTGGAGGTTCTTTGTCCTTTTAGTTATTTCTTCAATGCTCTTGAAGGCATTCCAAGCCGCTCTCTTCCTCCTGTGCAACTCAGGTGCCAGGTCATTCATCATGTTGATTTCTCGACCTAGGTATATATAACTGTTGCATTCGGAGATGGTGATTCCGTTGAGAGCGAATGGAGCGTCAGGAACAAGGCTGTTTCTCATAAACATTGTCTTCGCAAGATTCAGCAGTAGTCCGACCTTTCCACATTCATGGTCAAAGTCGTTCAGCATTTGTGCCGCTTGGTTGATGTTTGGTGTTATTAGAACGATGTCATCAGCAAAGCGGAGGTGGTGTAGTTGCCGACCATCTATCTTCACTCCCATGTTTTCCCATTCCAGCCGTCGCATGATGTTCTCGAGGGTGGCACTGAAGAGTTTTGGTGAAATGGTATCACCCTGCCGAACCCCTCTCTTGATATGGATGATTACTTCTTTGTAGAATGGTGAGATCTTGGTAGTGAATCCGCAATAGAGCTCACGAAGGATCCTGATGTATTGAGTTTGTACGCCCTGATTGGCTAGGGCTTCTATGACCGCTTCCGTCTCAACAGAATCAAAGGCCTTCTTTAAATCAATGAACGTTAGACAGAGTGGCATCTTGAACTCCCGAGATACCTCAATGAGCTTGGTTACTGTGTGGATATGGTCGATGGTACTGAATCCTTTTCGGAATCCAGCTTGTTCACATGGTTGTCCTTCATCTAGTGTTCTGCTAATCCTATTCAGGATGACTCGAGTGAATAGTTTGTAGATGATAGACAATAGGCAGATTGGGCGATAGTTGCCAATGTTGTGGATGTCTCCTTTCTTGTATAGTAGTACAGTCTTGCTGGTTTTCTATTGGGATGGAACCTTGCATTCAGACAGGTAGCGTGTGAAGAGTCGAGCCAATGTTTTGATGAGTACTGATGGTAAGTTCTTCAGGTGTTCAGGTCTGATCTTGTCTGGGCCAGGTGCTCTTTGTTTCTTTACCGACGAGATGGCATGTTGGATTTCGGAAGGGAGAACATTGGGAACGACATATCCATCATTTGGTATGTGGTATGTGGGCAAGTGGATGTGGCTATTAAAGAGATCTGAGTAGAAGTCATGAATAATCTTCTCCATTGCCCTTCTGGAAGATGTGATAGATCCATCATGATGTCGGAGGGCAGTCATCTTGGTTTTGTAGTTGGTGAAGGACAGGCGGGCATTACGAATGTTTTTCCCAGCTTCTGCTGCATCTACCAGTACTGCTGCTCTCCTGTTTTTGAGGTCATCCTTGATGGCTTCTCTGCACTGTTTTGCCAGTTCGGACGTTTGCTTGTGGTTGCCTGAGGCACGTGCCAAGCCACGTTGGCGAATAAGTTCAAGAGTGTTCGAAGAAAGACGGTTTTTTGTGGTTATCTCTCTCTTGGCATTCCTTCCACAATCATGGAGGTGCTGAATCATTCGATCGTATTCCTCATCAATGTTGTCAATGATGGCATCTTCCCATGTTGCCGCAACAGAGCCAAAGAGTTCCCAGTTGGTGGTTGTTCTGGGAGTCCTCTTCTTAAACCTTGCATTCTTTTCTCCTCGTTCTGTGAGGTAGAATTTTGCACGAAGAAGACGGTGGTCTGATCCCATTTGGAATTTTGGGACAACAGCAACATCGGTTAGGCAAAACCGCCGATTGAATATGATGTGTTCTATTTCATTGTGGAACCGTCCATCGGGAGACTCCCATGTCCAACGTTTAGATTCAGCCTTTTGGAATTGTGAGTTACCATGGAAGGTTTTGGTTGACATGATGAACTCAGACAGTCTGTCACCCTGTTCGTTCCATTCCAGGCCATGGGTTCCGATGTGGAGTTCATCGACTGATCTTCTTGGTCCTATCTTGGCATTAAAATCACCGACAATGATCTTGTAGAAGGTGTGATCTTCTTTATAGAATTTTTCCAGCTCCATGTAGAATTTCTCAGTTTCTCTTTCACCATAACTGGATGTTGGTGCATAGACAACAAAGATAGAAACTGCCGGTAGTGAGCCACATTTATTCAAGTGTAATCGTCCGATTCGGGTTGTTAGGCATTCAAATGAATCAATGCTCGTGACTAAGTTTGTGTTGACAAGGATACCGACACCACCGACGCCTCTTTTATCACATGTTCCAAGGAACAGTTCTTCTCCAGTGTCGAAAACAGCATGATGGAATTGATGTCTTCTCGTTTTGGTCAGACCAATGATGTCGTACTTGATCTTTCGTGCTTGTACCATAAGGTCTTCAATGGATGCAGCAGATGCCAGGGTACGAGCATTAAAAGTACAGACAATCATTTTTGTTTTTCTGCGTTTTGGTAGCCTATGTCTGCCTTGGTGTTTTATCAGCCTCTCCTTCCATATCCTTCTCGACTCTGCATATTCAGGGTTAGGGAAATGAGATCCATTTATTACTGGATTTGGCATATCAATTTGGTCTATTTGGCATAGACCACGGATAGCTTGCCAGGCTCTGCCGTGCGGGTTGGATATTTAAGGATATTTAAGGTACCCTGAAAATTTAGAGAAAAGTAAATAAATAGTCGCGCGGCCACAGGCCGCGCGCTCCCGGGAGCTTGTTGTGATAATCTCTGGATCCTGGCCTTTGTTGGGGTTACACGGCAGTTGGAGGGTGTAACTGTCTAGCTACTGACAGGTCCAGTCCCAAACCGTGCAGGCTTGGAGATCTCAGCCCCGGGTCCCACACACCTGGGTTCCTCTGCCAGTTCTGTTATGTCTGAGGCTTATCCAAGTGTGTGGAGAGTGGCCCCAGTAAGGCCTTGGTTGGGGCCTGCAGGTCTTCAGCTGTTGGGCCCTGGCGAGGATAGTCAGACACAGGATAGGAGACTCTGCCTTGTGCTCTCCCGGGAGCTTGTTGTGATAATCTCTCGAAATATAAAGTCTCGAAATATAAAGCAAAAATTGCCAGGACCTTTGTTTTGGGTCACATTTGACAGTGCTCGGGGGCTCTCCTGCTCGGTGTTCAGGGGTCATTTCTAGAGGTGTGCGGGGGACCAGGGATAATGCTGGCATCCAACCAGCATCAGCCCCTGTACTGTCTCTTCAGCCCCCGCAACTTGCCAGAAGTCTAAGGAGAAAGGAATGAAACTGTGACCTTTGTAGGAGAGGTCTGTCTCTCATTGTTTAAGACCAGGCGGATGTTAAAGACCACAGAGATTTGAATGGCACAGTGGCAGGATTGGTCTCCTGGCTATGCATTGAAGCTCTGCCTGTAACAGTTACAGATTACTGATTTTTCCCCCAAGATACTTGGGTTATTAATATGAACCAATCATTAGTTCGCCTACAAAAAAAATCATTTACCAAATAATGAGACAATGCTGTATAGATTGTTTGGCTACTTATCATAATAACTTAAAATCAGGGCACAGGGGCTGCCGGGTTAGTACAGTGCATAAGATAGTTGCCCTGCCTGCTGCCCACCCAGATTCAGTCTCTGGTACCCCTTATGGTAAGCCCCCCCAG